GACAAATAAATTATTATTTTAATTTCTCTATTGCTGCGTTGAATATTTCATTCCAGCTAAGCGTTAACCACAAGCAGGGTGCTACATGTTTTTAAATCAGAGAATGTTACAATCAAAAGAGGCCTTAAAGGGCATCTCGTCAAACCCTCTTGTCAATGCAGGATGATGAAATGCATCAACGGATGATGAAAATACAGCATCCCTCATGGGTGGCTGCCCAGTTCCTGCTGAATTGCTCCCAGCGAAAGAGAGTGCACTGCTGAACAGCTCTTATCATTTGGATGTTTCTCCTAAGGCAGGGATGAGGAAACTGTAGTCCTTCAGGTGCTATGGGACTTTCTATCAGCCTCAGGCAGCATCAGTGATGGCCAGGGTAATAGAAACTCTGGAGGGCCACAGATTCTCCACAGCTGCATCAGGTTTTGCGTCTGCATCCGGGTGTCCACTGCTAACCATTCTTACTGTACCATTTCCAGGAGTTCAAAACTGAGTGCAAAATAAAATAATAAAAAAAGGAAAAGCCAGCTCCCCTAGTGCAAGTTATTGATTGAATGGCTCTGAGATTTTAACATTTTAAATTAAACCTATATAATAATGTCATGGACTCAGTCTGAGTAAGTACATAATAACGTGGCTAATTAAAAAATTAGAATTAATTAACCTTTTCAAAACAAGTAGCCCATTTCAGTGCCCCAGGTAAATATTCAACTAATTAAAGTAAAAATAGGGCAAGAAACAAAGCTATTATTTGCAAATGCATGTTTTGTGCAACGGGGGCTCCTTCAGCGCCATTCCAAGCTGTTAAATAATTATATATTTAGGACACACTGCCTACATCAAAATTAGTATGAAAACATATGGAAAATCTGGCAACGTACCACAGTGCAGTTAATTATTAATCACAGCACCTCAGCTATTTCACTCCTTTACCTTTTTTCAAAAAAGGAGGGAGGGAAAGAACAATCGTATTAAGGACTAATCATCAGCCCTGTTTTTCTTCATTTTTTGTGGAAACGAGGATCACATTAACACATTTTAAAATTGTTAGCACCATTCAGCGACACAAATTCCACACCCCTGGGGCTGTCACAAGTCCCCAGTTCCTCTCTCGAGATCACAGGCTACTCAGCAGTCTAAGTACTATAGAATCCTAATGCACAACATGACAGAGAGGGATTGTACACTGAAGGGACAAAATGTACCTTCCCTTTGCACTGTGTGTTTTGTGCTTCCGCCTGACTCACAAAGTTCTGCTTGCCACCAGCACCGCCATTTTGTCTTCCTGTAGAGCACTCTTATTTATTTCCCCATTGATAGCAACTCACGCACTTTAGTGGCCTTCTGATTTTGGGAGGTGAGAGTCCATTTTGCCTCCTCTCCCCTTGCTGCCTAAAGCTCATTTAAAAAGGTAAAGGGACCTCTGACCATTAGGTCCAGTCGTGGCCAACTCTGGGGTTGCAGTGCTCATCTCGCTTTATTGGCCAAGGGAGCCGTACAGCTTCTAGGTCATGTGGCCAGCAGCACACAGAAACGCCGTTTACCTTCCCACCAGAGTGGTACCTATTTATCTACTTGCACTTTGACGTGCTTTCGAACTGCTAGGTTGGCAGGAGAAGGGGCCGAGCAACGGGAGCTCACCCCGTCACGGGGATTCGAACCACTGACTTTCTGATCAGCAAGTCCTAGGCTCTGTGCTTTAACCCACAGCGCCACCCGAATCCAAAGCTCATTTACTTCATCTTATAAAACTTGATGGGAGATATTAACAACTGTATCTGCTCCCAATTGCACAGTCGGCTTTGATTTCTTTATCCCATTAGAATACGAGGCAGGAGTGTGACCTACGTGGAGCTAAAGAACAAATCTTATTATGGCGGATGGTTGGGTGCATGGAAGTAGGACAGACATTATCTGCTCACATGCATACTTCCCAACCTTCTGGGATGCCTGTTGGCCGACACTATTCCATCTATGGTTGGGAGTGTTGTCTGTTGCCCCTGTGAGCACTTTTAACAGCAATACACCGGCTCATGTTCTTACACAGAGCCTAATTTTTTTACTGTAAGCACCTCAGGACTGGTAGTGATTTCTGCTTAAATATAACAACCTCCTGAGCATTTCAGCTTCCAATCAGGCATGGAATCTGGACAAACGATGCAGATACCTTGATGAAATTGAAGGTTCAGATCTGGCCAGTGCATCAATATGAGGCCACCTGAGAGAAGGTGGCATAATAATAATAAGCAGAGACATCACCTTGCCAACAAAGGTCTGTATAGTTAAAGCTATGGTTTTCCCAGTGGTGATGTATGGAAATGAGAGCTGGACCATAAAGAAGGCTGATCACCTAAGAATTGATCCTTTTGAATTATGGTGCTGGAGGAGACTCTTGAGAGTCCCATGGACTGCAAGAAGATCAAACCAATCCATTCTGAAGGAAATCAGCCCTGAGTGCTCTCTGGAAGGACAGATCCTGAAGCTGAGGCTCCAATACTTTGGCCACCTCATGAGAACAGAAGACTCCCTGGAAAAGACCCTGATGTTGGGAAAGATGGAGGGCACAAGGAGAAGGGGACGACAGAGGACAAGATGGTTGGACAGTGTTCTCTAAGCGACCAACATGAGCTTGACCAAACTGCGGGAGGCAGTGGATGACAGGAGTGCCTGGCATGCTCTGGTCCATGGGGTCACGAAGAGTTGGACACGACTAAACGACTAAACAACAACAACAATAATAATCTCAAATTATTTTAACTTCCTAGAGATTTATTGCTCAACAACCAACTTGGCTTGGGAAATTGTGGAGTCATCCTGTGATTGGACAGGCCTAAGTGGGAAAGGTCCTAGATCAGAATGTAGACACAATCAATGGAGATAATGTGCAACACCCTGGAGAAAGCAGCCAACTAGAAAACCTACCTTAAGTGTATCTCAAAAGGTTTTCAACCTTTTTGTGTCCACGGCTCCCTTGACCAACTGCATTCTTTCTGTGGCACCCGTGGGGCTCTGGAGCCCAGTTATGCCACCCCAGCAGAGCTGGCAACTTCTCACCCTTTTCCAAACACCCACCCTTGTGGAGTGTTCCCTCAGCCTCCTCTCCTCTCTCATTGGGAGTCCTCAGGGCAGCCGCAGCTGTCACCTCTGGTCTCTGAGCTGTCCCACAGGGTTTTGGGAAGCACCCCATCGTCACCCCATGGGTACCATTCGCCTCAGGGAGTTTGAAGCCAGGGCTGTTGCAACAGACAGCTGTGCAAGCCTTTGGGAGGCAGAGGGCATCAGAGAAGCGAGGGAAAGAAAGAGGGAAAGAGGCCAGTGTTGCCCGCGGCAACCCTGACCATCATTCAAGGCACCCCAGGGTGCCACACGGCACACTGGTTGAAAACCACTGGTGTATCTCATTAGTGTTTTTGGCTTGCGTAAAAAGGTAAAAGGAACCCTGACCACTAGGTTCAGTCATGGCCGACTCTGGGGTTGCGGCGCTCATCCCGCTTTATTGGCCAAGGGAGCCGGCGTACAGCTTCCGGGTCCTGTAGCCAGCATGACTAAGCCACTTCTGGCGAACCACAGCAGCGCACAGAAATGCCGTTTACCTTCCCGCCGGAGCGGTACCTATTTATCTACTTGCACTTTGACGTGCTTTTGAACTGCTAGGTTGGCAGGAGCAGAGACTGAACAAAGGGAGCTCACCCCGTCGCGGGGATTCGAACCGCCGACTTTCTGATCAGCAAGTTCTAGGCTCTGTGGTTTAACCCACAGCGCCACCCGCGTCCCTTGAAATACCTTTTCAGTTAAGATACGCTGCTTTAAAAACATTCAAAACAGCTATCAGGAGTGAACATAGACCAATGACACCAAAAGGTATGGGAAACTGCCCTACTAGAAAAGTTAAACAAATTTAAATGAGCATGGGGACAAGCAAAGGAGGATGCAGTGGTACCTCGGGTTACAGGCGCTTCAGGTTACAGACTCTGCTAACCCAAAAATAGTACCTCGGGTTAAGAACTTTGCTTCAGGATGAGAACAGAAATCGTGCTCCGGTGGCGCAGCGGCAGCAGGAGGCCCCATTAGCTAAAGTGGTACCTCAGGTTAAGAACAGTTTCAGGTTAAGAACGGACCTCCAGAACAAATTAAGTTCTTAACCCGAGATACCACTGTATAAGCAAAGGTTATATCCAGACCTACTCCCTCCCTTTGCAGATAGGTCACAGATTCTGGTAAATATCATTACTGGCTCAAAGTCAAGCTATTTCACCAAGCATTTTTTATTTTTATTTTGCCCAGAATGTATGTATCATGGCATGTCAGAGACTGTGTGGCGGTGCCAGTTGTATGTACTGGTGCCCCCAAAGTGATCCCTAAAGAGAAGCTAAAGAGGTGATCACCTTAGGGCCACCAAATTTCTGAAAGGGTTTCAATATTTTGTGGTGAAAGGCCCATTGAAAACATGAGTAAAGAGTTCATTCCAAAGCAAAGTACAGTGGTGCCTCGCAAGACGAAAAAAATCCGTTCTGGGAGTCTCTTCGTCTAGCGGTTTTTTCGTCTTGCGAAGCAAGCCCATTGACGGGATTAGCGGATTAGCGCTATTAGCGGCTTTTAGCAGCTTATCATCTTATCAGATAAGCGGCTTAGCGACTTAGAAAAAGAGGGGGAAAAGGGAAAAAAAAACCCAGGAACTCGCAAGACATTTTCGTCTTGCGAAGCAAGCCCATTGCAGATTCGTTTTGCGAGGCACCTCCAAAACGGAAAACTCTTTCGTCTAGCGAGTTTTCCGTCTTGCGAGGCATTCGTCTTGCGGGGCACCACTGTATATAACAAGAGTCCATATGGCTACATTTGGCAACACTGCTTAATTCTCCAAGTGAATAAGGTGTGAGGGAAGAATTGTGTGGGTCTGTTGTCATTTCAGAGATTAGTTCCGTTGGAAAACTGCAAACACACATATCGCAACAGGTCATTTTTCATTCTTACGGAAAAGGCCAAGAAAAACCAGAAATCCCAAGTCAAAAGGAAAAAAAAATAGTGTTTTATTAACTACCACACTGTTATAATACATTTTAAACGTACAATAAGGTAGCCTTTAAATTTGAGGTGGTTTGAACAAATAAACAGATTCCCAAATGTTTGTAAATAGTGAACAGGTGTTAATTATTGTTCTTTTCCTTTTCCTTGTAAAATGGGTAGCGCACTTACAGACTGGCTATGCAAATTATGTTGTGTACATTTTTTTTTTCTATTATTGAAAATATAAACAGTAATTAAAAAATAAAAAAGAATTCAGCGTAATAAAAAACATATATGTTTATCACTTAAATGTACTGGATACATACAATTTAAGGAAGAAGCATAAAGGAAAGATGTGGACATTTAAATGTAGAGCTAACCAAAAGCTTGGCAGAAGAAAGCGTTGTAAAAACCCTTATTTCACTATTGACTAATATTAATATAGTTTGGAGTACTGTCCCTGTAGGACTGATTTCTATTATTTGCATATGTTTGTTTTTTAACTGGAAATTTACATGATGGCTTTTAAGGCCCTGGCAGACAGATTTTTTTAGAGACAAGATTAGATAAAAACCAATGTTGAAACGGACACCCCTTAGTTTTTGGTCCTCCAATATTCAAGAAAAGGGCACCTTTAATTTTTGCTTCACCACCCAAAATGCTGCAACCTATTTTCTTTTAAGCCTTTGAATAATTTTAAATATTGGTTATATTGTCCAAATTAGTTACTGAAAGAATATTAACAATACATTATTTTGGCAAAATTAAACCTTTAAACATGGCTTTTCAACAGGATTTAAAAGGTAACTATCCCTAGAGTTCCATGTTAAAATGTACTTCTCAAAATCTTACGAGAGTTATGCTTAAAATATTGTACATAGTTAACCTAATTAAAATAATTAGCTTCAAAATGACAACTTGATGAGCTAAGTAAAGCCTATACAATGAAACATTTGCTTGGAAACTTGATTTGTCAGTTATGCATAATAAAAATTCCAGTCATCAAGAAAATTACAAAATTTCTTTCTTTATCATAACATGATTTCTTTCACCAATCAACTTTTATCTTACAATAGATAAATACCAACATGTTCTCATTTTTACACTAAACCACAAAGGATTGATGCATTTGATTAGACTACCATTTCCATCGTTAAATTTTTTTTTTATACAAGTTGGTAAAATTTAATCTCTTCTAGATTCCAAAAGTACCTACAAAACCCATGCAATTTTACCATTTTAATATACTATGGAATATCATACAAAGTAAGGCATTTCAGTGTCATGTATAACCAAGTTACTGTCAATCCAAAAATTTTTGCACATCAATAAAAAGATATCTAAGAACTTAGGAACAATATTCTTCTCACTACTGTATAAAAATAACCACAATTAATAGGTATCTTGTGTAATATTTATTCCATTGTCTCGTTTCCAGAAACAGTAACAAGCTGTAAAGGTATTTCAGCGTTGGTAAGAATATCTTGATTGCTGGTGCCAGAAGTGTTAACAGTCCCTATCCCTGAAACAGAACCTTGTTGAATATTAGCAAGGATAAGCGTTGTTCCGCCCGCAGTAATCAAAGTATCCTCCGGCGTTGCTTCTACCGAGGCCAGCACTGTACTGCTAGCGTGAATAGCCTTTTTATTTTGATGCGTTTTAATATGTTTGGCAAGATGGTCACTTCTCATGAAGCGCTTTGAACATTCTGGGCAGACGAACTTCTTTTCACCTGTTGAAAACATAAAAGTCAGAAGCATTCACACAAAACACACAAAATACCGTCGGGCACATTGTAGCCAAAAGCTTCAGCTTGTCTCAGATTTGCTTCTTGGGTTGAAAACTGTGCACTGATTTAAATGCACCGTTGCGAAAAGGAAGCGACAGTAGGCTAAATTTTGACAGGCAGTCAGATGTTAGCAGCAGTGCTTACAAGCCATATTTTAATCTGGATTGGTGTTTTGCTCTCCCTCCCCATCCCTGCTGACAGGTGCGAGTCACACAGAGTAAGTGAAGCAAACTCTTTATTAGAAAAACAGGATCTGCACAGGGCTGCCAGGTCTTGCCCCATGAGGCAGTTGCGTAGACTGAAGGTCCCTGCCTTCTCACAGCTGCCTAAATTCCCTCTTCTCCAGGGTTTTCCCTAAGCAATCTGAGATGGTGCTTGCATGACGCTAATTTATCCTCCGCCCTCTTCATGCCTCTCCTGGTTCTGGGGCACTAGCAGGGACGGGAGCTTGTCACAGCCGCAGGAGGAGGCACCTGTGCCTCTTCACCAGCCAGACTCATGTCTCTTGGCCTTCCTCATCCCACTTTCCTGTTTCAGCTCCTGCCTCTGATTCCGGACTGCTCTCTGCCACAGACTCCCCCGGCTCACTAAGCCCTGTTACCACTCCAGCTTCTGACACCTCCTCCTCCCAGACTTCTCCATCTGACCACTCATGGTCATCCCACCACCAATTCCCTGGGGCTCTGAGCCGTCTTGCCATGGGGGTTCCCCAAAGGGTTCCTCCACACCATTCCTCTGCATCCAACCAGTCCACGATATCCGCGCCCTCAAAAGGAGCGCGCAAACAAACAATTGTAAAGACGCCAAACGTTGGTAACCTGTATGTGTCCTCCTGTGCCGCTGTAGCTCATCACTGCGGGTGAACCTTTTCCCACAGAACATCCAAGTACAAATGAACGGACGCTCTCCAGAATGCCAGCGAAGGTGAGCTCTCAGGTGCGATGTCTTCCCGTACACTTTCCCGCAACCAGGTATGTGACAGATGTGCTGTTTCTTCTTCCCCAGATTGGTGCCTCTGTTAAAATACGAACCGACACAAAGGTTCCTCAGCACAGGCAGACACATAGGGACAGTTTGCTGAACTGTAAAGAGGTGCATTCCAAACATCTTGGTACACACATTTACAGGGATCAATGGCTCAGAAGCCGCAGGGGCTGTCGCCGCTGAAACTGAGAATCGTAACACAAGCCACACCCCTCAGTCAGTCATTTGTCTGCTCGCACTGAAAAGTACCAGAAGCATGCATTCCCCACAGCTACAGGTGCTGAAATTAATGAGCTCCCTCACTTTTGTCTCATTTATTTTAAAGACATTTACCACGCGGGAAGTCAAGAAGTGCGTACCTTCCACCCCCTTCTTTACAATTAGGACAGGTGCAAGCGACTCTTCGCAATCTTTTCCCTTCTTGATGTGGCTGGTCCCCTTCCTCGTCCACCACCTGCACTCTCAAATGTGTCAGATCATTGGTATTCAGTGTAGAATCACCACCAAGCTGCCATTCTTCTGGATCAGGCTCCTCTTCTTTAATCCTGATATCTAAGGAGAAGAAACACAGGGATTAGTTATCTGGCCTATTAAAAACCAAAGGAAGCAACACATAATGATCTCATCCTTTAACGTACTTAGCACTATGTGCATGCCAGTTAAAAAGTCAGGTGCTTTTACTACCTGCCATTGTTATGGCTATCTACGCCCCTGTTGCCCATTCTGCATTTAAGAGTCACGATGATGAGCCACAGGTTTCAGATCACCAACACGGAGAAGCTTCACAACACCATTAAAAGTTCTTTCTGACGGGGGGAGGAAATACATGCTATATATGCACACCATATTTGACTTGCTATAAAGGTTATTAAGCCACCCAATATGAAATTATCAGAAAAAAACTGTGAATTATTTGCACGTAAATGCCTTTTGTTGAAAGCAGAATGGAAATTCAAAAAGGCCGAAAGTTTCAAGAATGCTTGTTTAAAACAACCCTGCAAATTGCGCTTTGCAACATCTATGGGATGTGAACACAACTGAAGTGGGACTGTCTCTGCCCAAACAGCTGTTTTATACAACACGGCATTTCAAAAGTACACAATTTCAAATTGACTGACGTATGCAAGCAAAATCACATACTGCAGATATCCTGAAATTAGATTGAAGAAGTCGTCTTGAACCAGTACTTGCAGCAGCAAGGATTTCTGGGTTCCAGGGAGCAGGGTTAGAAACTCAGATATATAAGCTAGGTGCCAAATGGCTCCTTAAACCAAGGTTGCAGTCACCAAAAGAGTATGTCTAGTTAACATTTTTGGGCAAGACGGCAAATACTTTTCAATGACTGTGACTGGTTATCAGTTAAACATCTGGCTAGTTCAGATGACAACCTTGAGCTAGCTTAAGAATTTTGAGAACTTAAAGAAGAAAAGTCACTTGATCCAGGGACAGTCCACATATATATTGGCCTATTCCCATCTCTTTTTCTTAATGGTGACATGGACCATACATAATGTAAGAATATTCACAACTGTGAGCAGGGCAGGGGGGGAGAAGTGAAGACAAGCTACAACAATTAACTACAACGCTCACTGCTCCTGCTCCTGCACAGAAAAAGCATTTTGGTTCCTGAAATTCATTCCAATTGTGCAGATAAAATACAACTGATAGAATTCTACAGGATGGGGTATTAGTGTGTGAAAACAAGCCAAGATCCAATGAACCCCCCAGGCATGCACCTCCAGTTGGTGGTGCCCAGGAATCTTCACTTGGTTGCAAGTGGCAGACAGATGCAAAATGCTCCTGGCGCCTGGCTAATTTCTAACACTGCTAGGGAGAGCAGGGAAATGCCAGAAGCCAAGCTAGCTAAATATGAAATCGCTACTTCCTGGGAAGATACGGCCAAAGCAAAGCTGCCTCTATGGTTGTGGCACTCGCACTTGTAAAAGAAAGGGCAACTTGCATACATGCAAAGTTTGCTCCTTGCTTCCTATATACTTCTTGTGCCTGGTATTTTCTGTTTAGCACCTGTTCAATTCTTCCCTGCTAACTGAAGATTCAGAACGATGTTAAACCCCAGCTTAAGGCTTTATCAATGATGACTGTGGGGTTGAGCTCTACTTCTTTCATGACTCTGCACCGTGGAGTTGGGGAAGAAGTGAAGATTGAACCAATGCCCATCCAATCCACGACAAAGCCAAACATGGGAAAGTTATGCTGTTGTTACTCCTAACGAAGAACAATAATGTAGATGCCAGTAGCAGGTTTTCGGTTGTGACAATGCCTAGATTTTTCAACACAAAAGGCTTTTTAAAATCTCACTGACAAACCCAGGCTGTTCCCCTTACTTGCATTTATAAGCAGTAAGATAGTAAGATAGCCATGAGACTATTTTTTGTCTATTACCAATCATATTTACCACTAGCCTCAGATGCAGCTTCCTTGATAATGCACTCTCTGCCATTAAATGTCAGTTGCTTAGTAAGTTACTTTCTGCAACTCAAAGCTGCTAAAAGTTTGAAAAGCACTCAGAAATAAAAATCATCCTAAGAGTACTGCTAATTTATGGTACCATTTGCTAGCAAATGGCCCGCAAATGGAATTCCAAGAAGAAAAATTACAAACTGACAAGAAACCAAGTCCAAGAAATATAGCAGCAATAATTTTGGGGAGGGGCGAGAGATAATATAATTGTTACAGGCATTTGTTTGGTTAACATATGGCAAACAGGTTCACCTCAATCTCTTACCTAGAGAGGCAACCAGTGCTAATAATCTTCCTGCTTGTATGTTTGGTTTTGAAATGAAAACGTCCAGAGATGGTTCAAAAATCAGATACTCGGGCTGTTTCTTCTGCAGTGCAATTCTATATACTGAGAAGGAAGTTCCATTTTATTCAATGGGGTTTAACTACCAGAGAAGGGTGCACTAAATTGCAGTCTTAGATGTGCCAACAGAAGTCCTCATGTAGGCACCTAAAGTGTGCTAGTTTCTGATTTTCTCTTCGTGGGACAGTTCCTCACATTTCGAACATGGCCAAAGAAAGCAAAGAACTGTTGCTCTATCTCCTGAATTTGCCTTAACGCCAGGTACAAACTACTGATATATGGCCACCCCCCCCCATAACCCCATAAATAAAGGGAAAGACGTAATGTGTCTTGTTTCATTTATCGTTTGAAATATAAGAGTGGTTCAGATAAGCCGTAGCCCAATAAAAGTTAAAAGTATTGATCAGGGGAATAGATAAAGCAGGTTTCAAACTAGAGCAATTAGGTAAAATTGCCATTTGCTCCTATGCAAGTGGGTGCAGAAATACTATTCTAGAGGCAAAAATTCACTTTCCTTCCTCAATTTGTTAAATATTATTAAGAAAATTCTGGAGATGCACTATTGGTGCGGGCAAACAGCTGGGACCCAAAATATAGCAATCCTAGGCACACACCAGGCTTCTGAAACTTATCTTCTGACTGCAGCTGTTTGTTTGTGCTGATTCAAATAACGAGAAGGAAGACCTGAAGTTTCAGGTGTGGTTTTTCAGATGCCATGGAAGTATAAAGAGAGGCTCATCCTGTGTGGCTCGAAATCCGCTTGCACAACAAACATCTGTACATTTATCACATACTACGGCCACGCTCATTTATTTCGCAGTTTATACCTTGGGGGGTCAAGGCAAATCCAGGAGATAAGAGCAGCCATTCTTTAAAACTTCATTGCTTTATTTGGCCAGGGTCCCAAAGTATTGCATGCAGTGAAGTTTCCCATGGGACCAGAACAGAATGTAGCATGTTGGGAGGGGCTATAGAGGCAAGGGGAAAACCAGCAACTACTGTGGAAGCATCTTGGAGGCATATATGAACCTTGCCATTTATTTCACCTTCTGGGCTGTCTATTTGTCTGTCTGTTTGTTTGTTTATAAAAAGGCTAGATCTTTCAATCACTAGTAAAAGCTGTGCTTCTCAGGAGGTACACCTTGCAAGTGACATAGACGGAAACAGGCAACGCGAAGTCTAGTGCCGCTCCTCGTGCCTATGAAGCTGTTTTCTTGCTCGGCCAGCCTGCGCAAACTTCTGAGTCGCCCCTTTGCTTTACAGGCAATTCTTCTGGTAAAATTTAGCCTTACTGCTGTTACCTCGTGGCCTTATGATGTCCAGGCTCAGATTTTTCAAAAGATTAAACTGAAAGGAGAATTTCACTAGGTGTTGCTTATTTTCATAGTGCTGCAGAGATCCTGTCAAACGATTCCCTCCATACCTTATTCTTAAAGGTACTGGTACTCTCTTTAGATTTGGACCCGGCAATGCTACACATTTTGGGCTCCCTGTTCATGTTGCTCTCTTGCCTATGCACTACCTAGAAATAGTTCAAAGCCACAGCAGTACCTAGGCCCCGTATAAGCCCAACTTTGAATATAGCCTTTTTTCCTAGCCTTATGTCTCTACTAATTATTGTAGCCCTTTAGCACTATTTTTTTTATAATTAAAACAGGCCCCCAAATAATAATCACTTCCTACCATGCCAAATGGGCTCTTCACATTTTGCTTTCTGCATTTGAGGGCAACTCCTAAGAAATTTAGGGCTGTATTCACTTACAAATCCTAAATAGATGTAAGACAGAGGAGTTTAGTGAATAGGTGGGTGCAGCAGGTTCAGACCTATAGGTACATCTATAGCAATAACCGATAGAATTGTGTTTGTCTTGAGAAAATAAAGACAATTTGAAATTAAACAAAACACTGTATATTTTTAAACAGTCCCTATTCCGTGGAAGTAGGATCCATACTTGTGAGGTTCTAAATCACAGAAATTTCCAAATCCAGAACTGGGAAACAGATAGCAAATCAGGGAAACCTATGCATAGGTCCATGCAAGTGACTACTGCTTTGAATTAAGCATTCTAAGCATTGAACTGAACATTTATACCTTTCCAGGGTTAGTTTGGTCAACAACTGAGCAAGTACTTTAGATAATTAACTATGATTGTATGACCCTTAACTGGGCAGGATGGGAAGGAAGGAAGCTACGGTTGGTGACAATGTTTACCCTCGTCAATGGAAGTTATGTAAAGCTGAACCAAGACTTGACAATCATGGCTGATTTAAGCTAGGCTGACCACAAGACCACCAACAATTTAGTACATTAATGCTTCCTTTGATTGGCTAAAGGCAGCCAAGAACTCTCTCCTATCAATAATATAGTGTCTCCTGATAGCCCGTTACCTCAGCTCATTTCTGGAAAAAGACTTCACATCAATAGCTTATGGTGTTTGATCCAAGACTGGCACAGAAGCACCCATAGTTGCTACTGGAGGAGCTGTTAGCATAAGGGGAGAAAAGTGCCCCACTTATGCTAGTGTTAGGGGCTGCACAGTATTACAGTCTTGATCAAAGGATTGATTTCAATGAGTCTGATCTGCTACAGAGAATTTTTGACTATCCCCCCACCCATGCAACCTAAAGGGTTGGAGGACTCTCCAGAGCAACATGGGAGGTGATGCTCAGGGCTGCAGGAGAAATCAATGAAAATTATTTCCTCCAACTTCCTCAAGTGTGAGCCTACTCTCGATGGAGATCCTTCTGTGACTGGAATAAGGCCTTCGATTTTTTTTCCGAAAGGGCACATCTGGATCCAACCCAATGTGCACATTTCATTCTTAAGATAGATCAAAGAATGAGACAGTTTGCAATTCTTTCCACTTGTTGTTTTTACCCTGATTAGAGTTCTTGTTAGAGGGACGCGGGTGGCGCTGTGGGTTAAACCACAGAGCCTAGGACTTGCCGATCAGAAAATCGGCGGTTCAAATCCCCGCAACGGGGTGAGCTCCTGTTGCTCGGTCCCTGCTCCTGCCAATCTAGCAGTTCAAAAGCACGTCAAAGTGCAAGTAGATAAATAGGTACCGCTCCGGCGGGAAGGCAAACGGCGTTTCCATGCGCTGCTCTGGTTCGCCAGAAGTGGCTTAGTCATGCTGGCCACATGACCCAGAAGCTGTACGCCGGCTCCCTTGGCCAGTAAAGCGAGATGAGCGCTGCATCCCCAGAGTCGGCCACGACTGGACCTAATGGTCAGGGGTCCCTTTACCTTTACCTAGAGTTCTTGTTTCAATTTTCCACCCAGAAACAGCTCTATTATTGCCTGCTATTGCTCCAGGAATGCATACTTACACAGGACAATAATCAAGCAAACAGCAACGTGCAAAGAGTAGGGAAGAGATTAACATTTCATTTGTAGAAAAATTATTTACACCACTAATAAGTTTGGGTTTGCTTAGTTCTTGTCTCTATACTAGTGCTGGGGGACACCAACATGGCACGGGGGGGGGGCACACTAACCAAGGCCTTTCCTTGTGCCCACAGCATGCCTTTCTTGTGCCCCTTCAAATCTCCTGGCTTAGTCACAGGTAAGCTTTTGCTCCTCACCTGTGATGTCCCCTCCCCTCCAAAACATCCCTTATGCCACAATACAATTAGGCTTGAAAAGAGCCTTCTTTCCCTAGCTTTCTCTTGCACACACCTCTGTCCAAAAAGCCCCCCCCCATCCCAAAAATTTCACTTGAAGTAAGCATTTTTATTGGTTGCAGTGGGCTTTATAAAAACCTAATTGTTGCAGTGGGGCATCTTCCTGGAGTTTGCAAAGTCCTGCAAGTTGCTCACTTCCCATTAGGCCTGAAAAAAGCCAAAATACTTTGTTCAAATCTAACTGCCAGGAGTTGGGGGGGAGAGACAAAGAGCATGCGGCGTGCAAGCAAGCGTTGTTGCAGGGTGAGCATGTCTGTGCCGCTGCAGTGTGTATGCATGTTTGGTGCCCACGGCATTTTCTTAGGTTTCCTGCTACATCGCACCAGGGAGATCATCCTTATTCTTTATTTTGAACTTCGTTTTCAAAGCAGTTAATGCAATAAGGAAAGAAATGACCACATTTCCCAACTACCACTTAATGAAGCTCTTTGTTTTCACTATCCAAAATAAGAGGTGGCTCTGACATAAAACACTACTAAATCTAGTACAGTTGTTAAAGAAAACACTATGGACTATCCTCGGAACTGCAGCTGGTTTATATGGCAAAGGGATATCTAACATTAACTCAGCACTGAACTTCCATCCGTAAATGATCTAAGTGTTTTACCAATATATGTTTGCTAGGCACCTGCAGAGAATTCCAAATTCTACCTATCTGTGCATATCCAGGCCAATAGCTATACTGTTAGGTGGCATTCAGAAGAAACGGCTTTAACTGAAGTGCATGCAAGGGCTGGAATATGCCCAGTGGTTAGCTTGTTTTAACTTTCTTTATATAAATGAATGGCTTTGTAACATTCTGCAGAGTTTCTAAAGTGGTTTGCCATTTGGCATTGGGGGTGGGCAGGGGCTGCTAATCTAGCCTGGGTTCCACTGGACATGTCTTTCTCTTTGGATCCTGGCTACTATTTACATATGCGAAGTAAAACAAGAGCCACAAATCAACCAGGGGTTCATTTCTTCGTATTTAACCATCTTCAGCCTCTAACTGAATTCTCAAGGGGGTGTGGGTTATGTAAGCCGTGCAACTCAGTTCATAAGGTTACTGAGAATTTGTACAATATTAATTTCTCCGGGTTGGATCTAATTGTGTCGTGGAAGGAGTAAGCGTCTTTGACCCAGCAGAGACCCCAGTGAACAGAAGGGGGTGGCAAACTACAGTGGTACCTCGGGTTACATACGGTTCAGGTTACATACGCTTCAGGTTACAGACTCCGCTAACCCAGAAATAGTGCTTCAGGTTAAGAACTTTCGTGCTCCGAGGGCAGCAGGAAGCCCCATTAGCTAAAGTGGTGCTTCAGGTTAAGAACAGTTTCAGGTTAAGTACGGACCTCTGGAACGAATTAAGTATTTAACCTGAGGTACCACTGTATACCAATTTCTCCTTCAGTCTTCCAAATCACCTTCCTCTAATCCCCCCCAAAGCAAATTTGGGGGAGGGCAGAGAAGCTGAAGGGAAGAGGAAAAGAGAACTGGTAAATGATTCCCCTCCTTCTATTAGCACAGGGCTTCTCAAACTTGGGTCTGCAGCTGCTTTTGGACTACAACTCCCAGCATCCCTAGCTAGCGGAACCAGCGGTCAGGGATGACGGGAGTTGTACTCCAACAACAGCTTCAGACCCAAGTCTGAGAAACACGGCAATTAGCAAAAACATTCACTGGATGGAGAGGAATGAATAGATTCCACTCTTCAACTGCAAGAGAATTGTCTCTCTGCTTATCAAATTGGAATGTCAGTGGCACTGGCAAGAGTAATTGATTTGCTCCCACTCTTAACCCAAATTATTTTGCCGCTGTACTGAAAACCAAGAAACTGAATTGTACTTTTGCCAAAACTCAAGCCTTTGATCAGTAAATGAACCCATTAACCACCAGTGTTTCCTTCTGGATTTAACACCTTCTTCCTTGTGCAATATTGCACATTCTTTGGATTCAAAATGTACACTACAATTTGCACTGCACTTGCTTAATGTAGTACTGCCGACGGAAAAAACTGCAGTCTGAACCCATGCTTCAAAATTTGCATATAGGCTCTGGTACAAGTTTTGGCCTAAGTGTTCTGTAAAAGCCAGCAACAAGTATTGCAAAGTTTGAGTCTCAGCAACTCTTCTGATATCAGGCTCATTTTCAAAACACGCTGAAGCTGCTTCGTAAATCAGTAGAGCAGCTAAGTTATATGGCAGATCCTAAACTGGATACAAAATAGCATCATTTGTATTGTTTAGCCCAATTGATCTTTATCCGTCAAAACTTGTCCAAGGTTTTTTGAAACATGGCCTCTGTACTACAAGCCAATGAACAACTAACCTTATCCCATGTTGTCTTGCCATTGTTATAGATCTATTAAAAAAGTACTTCATACAATTAGATTTATAAAGTAAGTTACTAAACCATGGGAGGCATTCAATTATATTCACTGGTGGGAAAAATGGTACTTGCAGTCAGCGGCGTAGCGTGGGTTGTCAGCACCCGGGGCAAGGCAAGTAATTTGCGCCCCCTAACCCGGGGCAAGGCAAGTAATTTGCGCCCCCTAACCTGCCACCGCTGCCAGCTTCTTCTTGCTGCTGCCTGGTCTGGTCTGGTGTGGTTCTCTCCCGCGCTCAGCGCTGCGCTGGGCGGCCGCTGCACTGTCCCTCCCCCAGATAGTCCCTCGCTCTCTCTCCGCACCGCACGCCTGGCACCCACCCCCTCCACAGTGGGCGGCGACCCAGCGGCTCGGATCGGATTCGCACAGCCAGCACTGCAGTGAGAGAGAGTGAGTGAGCCAGGTAGGGGCAGAGAGCTGCGAGTGCGCCCCCCAGATGTTGCGCCCGGTGCGGCCAGCCCCCCCCCCCACGCTACGCCACTGCTTGCAGTTTCTCTTAGTCCCCCTCCAGCCCCCATTGGTCCCCCATAACATCTTATAGAGGGTCCCTCCACTCCTCTGGAGAAACCTTGGTGCATCAGCAGAAGCACACTCACGCTTATGTTGCATCTCATCTCTGACATTTATAATCATTTGAAACATAAAGTTCAGAAAAATGAATTTCAGACATCGCGGACAGTGATATAGCCAGTTTAAGGAGGACAAACTAGAACTTGACATTTCAGAAAGTGAACTATTCCCAGCTGTTGCAAAAGTATTTCTTGGGGAAATAGCAGCACAAAGTCCTGTATACTTCCATGAACCCCCAAAAATATTGTGAACGTTTATCAATGTTAAAAGCATTAAAGGGACTAGTTTCACAAAGACGCGTTATAATGATATAAATACCTGCAGGACTGTCGGCATTTTCTCCTGAGTGCAGCTGAATGCCACCAGAATCTATGGAATTTATTGTAACTGTCTGTAGATTTGGCAACTGAGCAGTACTTAGGCTAACAGGAGTCGAAGTCAAGCCCCCGCTTGCTGCTACTTGACCCAGAGTGAGCGTCTGCACAGGGGTCAATGTTATTTGTTGGCCAGGGGCATTTTGCAGCTGCAAGTTCTGCAAGTTCTGCACTCCTTGAACTTGAAACGTCTGCCAGGTTATCTGCCCGGATGGGGTCACTGTCTGCGCCTGGATTAAAAACGTCCCAGGGTTCAACTGAAGCTGAAGATTCTGCAAAGCCTGTTGCGATATACCTTGGCCAGCTTGCACCCCGTGGATTGTCTGCTGCGCAATACCTTGTACAATTTGGGCTTGACTGGTGGTTTGCTGAGACTCCTGAAGCTGTATGTGCTGCACAATAGGCTGTGCTGTGGAGACCTGAATATTCTGAGCCTGTGTCTCTTCCGAGACAGATGTTTGGATATAATTTCCCTGAAGATCAGAACTGTGTACTTGCCCAGTATTAGTAGACAGGCTGTTTGCATTCTGCTCCAATATACTGGTACTGTCTATAGTTACAGGCAGTTGTGATGAAGAAGATGTTGGCACAAATAAGTCTGTATCGGTGGTGGTTTCCGTCATTTCAGGAGAAACCTGTTCAGCAGTCCTATCAGAAGTGTCCGAACTATCCATCGCCTGTGAAGTACTTATCAAATGCCCGTCGGCGTTAATGCCTGCAGTCATGGTTTGAGAACCACTTAGTCCCAGAGAATCTAGATCAACACTATTGATGGGAACAAAAGCAATATTTCCCGGCAGTCCAAGAGGAACATTAGCAACTACCTGTGCTTGCCCAGGGAAAGACGAACTGCCAATGGTAACCCCTTGGACTTGGCCAGTCTGTGATAATATATTCTGAATATTACTAGAAGATGTTCCAGAGGCAATGATGGTTTGATTGGAGCCAGGAATGATTTGAATTTGACCGGTTTCTTGATTTACACTACCGTTGTCAGAAGAGGCTGCAAAACCAAGCTGAACCTGCTGGCCATCAGCTGTCTGAATCTGGGGTATTACTTGATACTGGACATTGGGCACTGCGCCGTTTGACGAATCCGATCCAGATGCAACAGAAAATATCTGTTGATTCTGCAAACTCTGTAGGGGAAGAACATATTGCCCACTTGAAGTTACTGTGGCGGTCCCCGGGATCTGTACTATATTGCCAGCTTCATCTTTGATAGTTGTTGGCGTAGCAGACAGCACCTCCCATCTATTTGGAGTTCCTGCTAACTGTACAGATGACAAATCCCCTGCCTGAACAGAAGCAAAAAGAACAGAAAATCAAGACATGTAGATTTTACATGTTAGATTACATACAAACTGTACATTAATACATTGCAAACATACATGTGATTTACAACTTCCATGCAACCTGGACTCAAATGCACTTAGAACTAATTTACCTCAGTAGGCCTGAACACACGCAGCTCTGTGGCCTTTAACTACCATTTCAACACACTGTTACACTAGTCTAGTACAGTGGTGCCTCGCAAGACGAAATTAATTCGTTCTGCGAGTTTTTTCGTCTTGCGAAGCACGGTTTCCCATAGGAATGCATTGAAAATCCAAAAGGAAACAAACTTGCAAGACGTTTTTGTCTTTCCATAGGGAAATTCGTCTTGCGAAGCAACTCAAAAAACGAAAAACTCTTTCGTCTTGCGAGTTTTTCGTCTTGCGAGGCATTCGTCTTGCGAGGTAACACTGTACACTGAAGGTTAATCACCGGACAATCAACGGTTGAAGAACATCAAGAAACTCACGTCAAGTATTTTATCTTTTCGACACCGGATCTTCCAATGCTAATTCATTATGCTGATCTTTGATAAAACCATTCTAACAATTTAAGTCCCCGCCGTACTCCAGTAAATGTGTCATACATGAATTTCAGGTTGGCTGCTATGAGTTACATGAATATACATACATACACACACAGAGAGAATTCAGTTCTCATGGTCAAAAGCATATTTTGCATGCATACAATATTTCCCCTTTTCTGTCCTCCAGCCCCACCTCTTTGAACTGAGCTGGATGCCCCTATACACAGCCTTTAGAGTCAAGGGCTACACAAAAAAGAACTAATATATATATATAATTGACCCAAATATACTCGAATAAGAAACAATAAGTGTTGAAATTTTGATATATAACCTTATTTTCACATTGTTAACGCCTGCTAATTCCTAGATGCTTTACGGGAGCAATTCTATCCGCTGTGGCAGAGTGGTTGAGGGGCCGTTGCATCCCATGGGCTTCCCTCTCCACGAGGGCCTCCTTCTCGCAGTGGCAGAAAGCTCAGCTGCCATTGTTCCTCTGCCAGCTGTACTGTGACTGCAGTTAGGGAGCTGGGGAAGATTCATGTCAGGGACACTATAGATTCACAGGCCTGCCCATTTCCAAGAGGTTGATTAGAGAAGAAAACCTATATACCATTTACTATACAGTCGGACCTTGGAAGTCGAATGGAATCCGTTCGACTTCCAAATGTTCGGAAACCAAGGAAGCTCCTGCAGCCAATCAGAACCCGCGTCGGACATTCAGGTTCCAAAGAAAGTTCGCAAACCGGAACACTCACTTCCGGGTTTGGGCATTCGGGAGCCAGGGCGTTTGACTTCCGAGGTACGACTGTATACGTTTACAATTTACTATATACATTTCTGGATGAAATGTAGTTCTATTTTTAGAAAGCAAAATGCGGCGCCTTCTGTGCCCTGGCTGGCCCAAGCCCAGCAAGGCTTAGGAAGCGGCAGTTTTTCTGCCAGACACCCAACCACACCACTCACCAGGATTGCTCTGCCCAATGTTTCATGGAGAACATGTGCTGATCAGCACTAGAAGGTGGTAATAATTCATTTTGGAGATTATGGAAAAGGAGTACTAAATTAATTCGTGACAGACAGAAAGCATTTACCACGTGCTATCATTTCGGCTTGAAAGATACTTAACCTTCTCTACTTAAACAGCAGAAGTGAGACTACAACATAACACTTTTCCAAGTATCCCCGTGGCATTGTGGAATGTTGTCCTGACTTGGATCCTAGCTGATCAGATGTCTTAAATCATCTTAGCCGCTTTTCTTAGTCTTCCCAATGCGTGCTTTAGAAGTTAAGGAGGTTTGAGATAATACAATCAAACTGTTTGATTGCAAAATCAAAAAAGCTTAGGCAAAGTAATAGCGAAGGAAAAAACAAACAAGTTTAGCACAATAGATCTAAAGCTTAGTTACATTGCTACAGCATCCTAATAAATAGCTGCTGTATTCATTAGAATGCTAAGTACTCCAAGAACAGATTCAGAAGCAGCAGCAGCTGTAGCTCAACCACTGAAGTGCTTCGAAGGACAGGGTGTTTTTTTCGGTTGCGGCACCTACCCTAAACCCTTGCAGAGTGAGGTCCATCAAGCCCTATTGTGGCACTGCTCCAAAAGGAGAATGAAGACCTGACATTTTTTAAAGGCCTCTGGTTAATTGTGAACTTTTTGATGGCTCAGTTATTTTTGTGCTGCTAAGATTCCTTAAATTAGTTTGCACATTGTTCATATTAATTTCAGTGAATAAGGAAGGGAGGTTGGGTTTCATTCTGTTTTTACTGGAGAAGTAGGTGAGATAGAATTGTTTAAAAGGATGTCGTAGAAAACAGACGACGCTAAATTTTCAAAGGCCCAAGTCTCCACTGTAATGAACTATTAAAGTTCACATTACAAACGATCCATTTCAGATCATTTTCCGAAAAGGATTGGCAATGGACAAGACTGGAAATAATAACAAACCATTTCTGGTCTTAGCCATCTGCCACATACTTATTTCTTTAAATTCAGTATGCTTCTCTTTCTCAGCCCCCAGTCAGAAGGCGGGCCTCTCCTTTATAAGGGCCCCTTCCTGCACATTATTAGGTTGTCCTTTTTTTATACTTCATGCAGCGACAACAAAAGTCAAGAAAAGGACATGTGCTTGAACAGGGAATCTGCGCTCTCTCTCTCTCTCTCTCGTGCTCCTTACAAGATTTCAAACATCCCAGGGACACCCTGCGCTCCAAGGAGCAGAATGGCACTTCCTTGCGCTGAGCAGCAGCCATAACGCAATGGTTTCATCATAGCTAAGCAGAATAAAGCAAAGCTGTAGAGTGCTGTGATATCAGAACACTCCAGCTAGTCACACATCTTCCAAGACTCCTTGGATCTTCTCAAGTGTCTTTAATGCTACATCAAACATCGGATATGGCTGCCAACCCACTGTATCTTAAAAGTATGAAATGTCTCAATATTTTTCAGCAGATGAATAAACAACGAATCAGTTCTCACACAGGTGAGATACAAGTCCCAAGGACTTCCTGAAAGGAATTGCTGGACAAACAAGCTGAATTGGAATACAAAAGAGGGAGGTATGAGGAGGTCCGGGAAACAAGTAAATGTAAAAGTAGTGATGAAAAGATGGAATTGTTTTTAACTGTTTTTTCTTTTTGTATTCTGTATTGTGTATTTTTCTTTTTCTTTTTAAATTCTTTTTTTTATTAATGTGATTCTTTTCATGTGAAACTTTAATAAATATCATTTAAAAAAAAAAATACAAGTCCCAAGGACTTCCTGTCACGAAGGATCTGGTCGCATGCCTCTTACCCAGGCATAGGCAAACTCGGCCCTCCAGATGTTTTGGGGCTACAACTCCCATCATCCCTAGCTAACAGGTCCAGTGGTCAGGGATGATGGGAATTGTAGTCTCAAAACATCTGGAGGGCCGAGTTTGCCTATGCCTGCTCTTACCAATCTCAACGTTCTAATGAATTATTTTCCAAAAGTCAAAGTATAAAATAACGGAAAAGAACCAGTCAGTCAGGGACAGGTATCTTACAGCAAAGCATTTTGCTGCCACTTCTGAACACAAGGAATTGTCCTTCGTTCCAACTACAGTTAAACAAACTAGGATGAATCCTTGGAAATAATCCTTGCTTTCTTTCAACTAACTAGTCCTCAAAGATCAGACCCTGCTGTGGTCAAAGGTGAATCTGAAAGCTTTCATTCTTCGCCTCTTCTCATGTGAAGGAAGACAGAGGCGTGTGTGAACCTGGGAGTCACCATAGCATGTTCAAGCAAACATCTGAACCAGGCCAATAAAAGTAATTTATGTTAAGCTCAGTTAATTTGGAGTGCAACTGGACTTTGCTCGTGCATCTTTTTAAGCGGTGGAGCGCTAAGAAAAAATAACTTCAAAAAGAAAAGTGAGAAGCCATTCTTTTTGGAAATTAAGTTTTGAAAACTTATTTCCAGATATTTTATAGTTTAAACAGCTTCTAAACAAATTGTTTCTACGGTGTTAAACAACTTTTATCTATTTCAGACTAACCACCAAGGCATGAATAACTATTTTCAAACCAAATTCAAGAATTTCAGCTGTATTAAGAATATTTAAAAACTCCTAAGAGTCCCCCCCCCATTTTTTTCAAGGATTAATTCAACCATTGGTCTTACATGAGATGAAAAGCACTCACTACATTTACACAGTACCTACTTGGGGTTATGTTTACACTACAAGCAACCCTCATTTTGCACAGGGGTTACGTTCCGGACCCCAGCAAGCATCAGTAGGGCCTGCATAAAGTGTTCCTTTCTGTCCCTTTAGGGACGTTTTAGTGATATTTTCAGGTCAATTCCGGGTTCAGTGCTGTACGCGCATGATCACATGTAAATAGGTTGTTGCCTGTACTCATATTTCTGATTCTTAAGTCTACCAGAGATACCAGCAGTCAGATTTAAGTTACCTACAGCTCCTTATGACAATACGTAATTAAAATGCCTACAAAATGCCTACATATTGCCACTATATAATTGGGATGTGTACAAAGTATTGCATTATTACAGTGCGCTGTAAACATCATTAGATTTAACCTCAATACTGAATATATTTAATTAGAAGTTCGTAAATCCCACCAAGTTAAACAGAACTTAACTTCCCGGTTAAGTGTTCTTCAGATCACAAGCACAGGGAGCTATTTATATAAACACATTAGTTACTCTTATAGTTATAGTATACAAATGCTACACCAGTACACTTATAATATTTCCAGTTCATAAAAATATTGTCTTTCCCCCTAACATCAACAAGTCCTACTTCTGAAGATTATTCAGTTTCAGAAACATAATATTGATTTCTAAAACTTCGCTGATGTTATTATTGCTACCATCGCTCAAGCTTTTGCTTACATTTTCAGTGGAACATTATCTATTCAAACAAACAGGAGGGCAGCCTACGCCATTACAGCAAAAAGCTTATCGCGGGTTTCAAGAAAGGCTATGCACCTATGTTGGCATTTATTACACAGTGAAGCAGTTCTGTATCAATGTAAGATCCGTATTAAATCTTCTATAATTTGGGATCCTGCAAGGCATTTCGAGAATCAATTATTGGGAAATCCCCTGCTCCCGATTGTACAATAGCACAAGACAGCTAGGCTCCAAGGCAGCAGCAATACTCTCGTGCAAAACCTCATACAGCATTATTACTGACGCTCAGGGCCAAGTGAGCAGGAGGCACAATGTTCATCAAGTCTTGAAACACGAGCAAAAAGTGCCCTCCCTTCGCCACATGAGCTTTTTTCTCCCTCATTCTAGATACTTCAAGCCGCAGAGCTTTCCCCCTTGTCTTAGTTAACCCACCCACCCCGACACAAGAAAATCCTTTTAGCTTATTGCATCCTAGGAGACGGGGGAAGTGAAGCTGCAAGATTCACACCTCACCATTTTTCTTTTGGGAAGTCCTCCCCAGAGCATGTAGAAACTCTTACCTTGTCTCTTTATGGATCCTTCTTCTGTACCCTACTTGGTGCCCTGGGGCACCCAGTCTTCTCTTAGAAGGAATAAGGTGGGGCCGAGATGATGAATTTGGAAATCCCCTTTCAGCTTTCATCTAGCCCTGCAGTTTACCACCACAGTACAATGCAATTTTTCTATTGAACTGACTGCTGAAGCTCAGGGTTAGGTGAGCGGGAAACTACGCTGCATGGCAAATACATGCCATGAGGAACATGTTCCCTGTCCCCAACTGCCTCCTCCAGTTAATTTTTTTTTTATGTTTGATGTCTTACTGTGTTTTAATTTGTTGAAAGCTGCCAAGAGTGGCTTGGGTAACCCAGTCAGATGCGTGGCCCATACATTTATTATTATTTGTTCTAGATACAGGTAGGCAGCCTGTTGGTCTGACGCAGTCGAAATATATTTTTAAAAAATTAAAAAATTGTCCAACAGCACCTTAGAGACCAACTAAGTTTGTTCTCGGTATAAGCTTTCATGTGCATGCACTATTCTTCAGATACTGAGAACAAACTTAGTTGGTCTCTAAGGTGCTACTGGACACACATATATATATATACATACATACATACATATATATATATATATATATATATATATTTGTTGTTGTTGTTGTTACACTATTATATGTTAGTAGCTCAAACAGGCCAGTTCTGTCCCCTCCTTCCTATCACCCCCACCCCAATTCAGCTGACACCCACAGCACAATTTTAGCCCTGGTTATCTGGCTGTTTTGTTTCCATCCCTCCTTTAAATGTACAAAATCATTTGGTTCAGCAGATCTGGAAAGTCCTGCAAATATGCACAAGCCAGAACACTGTTTGTGGATGTTGCCATTTTCACTGCCAATCTGATAGGAATGGGACCACTAAGTTCACCATTTATTTATTTTTTAAAAAAAGTAGAACTACAGTCAGGAACACCTAACAGTGCTGTTTGGTGATCAGTTCTGTTATTTACGCACCTTCTGAAAGCTCCTCTTGCTGTGTTATGTACTACTCAGGAACAAGGATGGCTGTCAGCCCCAGCCTCTTAACACGGGAGGTGAGTTGGTTTCTGGAGAAAGACTCATTTCTTCCTTACTCAATGCTATGTCTCCACGTAGCACAGAAGGAACATTTACGACATAGGGCACATACTCCCCAGCCGTTATCTCTACGCATTTCTGAGATGCTATATGTTGTTCCAGATTCATATAGCTTCTGTTCTCCGAGTTACCACCCTCAGCATGGCCAACCATGTTTTGGGGGGTTTATTTACAACCTTGTATTGTTGTGAATAGCCAAGGGAACCCCTAAGCATGCAGAAACCCCCACTATGCGTGTGAATTGCTGCCAAATATTTAGATGCAGGCCACAAAATTCAGTATTTGGAAGGATGGTAGTGATGCAATTCCAGGGGAATCAGTAGAGATCCTGGAAGTTCAAAAAGGTTGTACTCTTTTGCAGAACTGGCAGAGAGACACACGTGGAGATAATGTTTAGAATGGGGCAATAATTTGGGCTTGCTATATTCAGCACAAACTTCCAATTTGCTATTGTTTGACCAATTCAGATACAGCAACTGGCCTTGTTCGCATGCCACATTAAACCACCACTTAAAACAAAGTGGAGTTAATAGCAATACTCTCTCATTCCTGATGCCATGCCAGAGATAAGCCAGTCTTAGGCTGACATGTCATCTAAACCACTAGAAACAAACAAGGTTTGTCCTTGGTTCTAGGAAAACAAACCATAAAAGAAATTTCAGATGATGCAACAGATCAGACTTGGCTTGTTTTGTCTGTGGTGAATACTCAGCACTGGGAAAGAAATACCATGGGAACTTTTGAGTAGCAGGCACCAACACATTTCCCTTTCACATCAAATCATAACTTGTTTTCAACTATTGTGATGTGTTAACTAGGAATCAGAAGTGATCACATGAGGAGGGAGCACCATTTCAAATCCTGTTCACAATGGCCGAACTGCTGTGATACCTGAACTAGACTTTACTGTAAAGCACACTCTACAAAATTAGTCCTAATTAAATGGCCCAGTAAGTCAGGGAAGGAAATATTAGCATTATATCTTTGGCAAAATTCTAAATTCCGGAAGACAATTCTCATAATTTAACTTCCTGTTAAATATCTGAAGTATGGCTAGACTATAGTAGTCTAATCCAGAAATCAACTTTGCAAGTTACTAGGGTGAAGTCTAAAGTAAACTGAATTTGGGGATGCAAATATTGTGACTTGATCCTCGCTGCATTGGAAAGTTTGATAAGAAGTTGGACATGCATAATTTAAATCTTAAAAAGCTTGGGGGGAACCCAATTCCTTTTTCCAATTATTATAAATGCTGACAATTACTTTTAGCGACATCTCATTGTGGATGAGAAATTTGTGGTAGGTGGCTTGCTTTCTTATCTGAGTGTGTAAGAATGTGTTTGCAAATTCCCTTCCCATTCACAGGAGAATTCATTGATACCAGAGATGAGACACAAAGATGAGATCGTTTTGTTGCTATTTAGTTAGCACTTTCACTTGCAATGATTCATTTCGTTAAGGAACATTCCATTAAATACCATTAAGGAAGTATCTACTCTTTCCTTTCAGGAAAATTCATGCCAATGCTTCTCTTCTCCAACTATTTTCGTCTACTGCCATTATTTATATATTTGATATGTAGAAATACCATCAGAGGTCTCTGAATTACTAGTATTATGGAAAGCACAAGAGAACGCCATGTGTGATCAGCTACATCCTGGATTAGCTATAGTTGGAGAAAGGCACACTGAGAGAAATGGTTAGAAAAAGGGGTGGGAAGCATAATTCTAGTCTGGATCCGAGGCCTCTCCTCTTTGGCCCTGCCTACCCCCAGATGGAAATTAGGCTAAGAAAAAAGCTCCTATTGGTGCCAAACTACCATTCAGAGAGGAGCTATTGAGTAAAAAGAGGTATTCCTTACCCATTTTTGGCTTTGGCCATGACATACGGTCAATAAAAGGTACCAAACCAATTACCACCAAGGGAATGTGGCTGTCAACATAAAAAGGACGCCCACCACTGATTTAAACCATTTATCCAAACCTATAAATATTTGCAGGGAACCATAACATTTTGTGGAAAGGTCTTTTTCATTTGTGCTCTTTTTCACTCTCCTTTTTTTCTGTCTCTGTCTCACATGCCTGCTTCTTGCCTGCCCACATTTCCTGTAGCCAATTCCCAATTACCTTTTAAAAGCTCATCCCATTTATAAGGCTAAACCATTATCAAAATAAGTGTTTTAACGTTACCTGAGTGCCATTTAGATCCTGTTTTAATAAATTTATTGTAGGATGGAGAATGTGAAAACCTTGCTTCAGGCTCTCTGAGAACCAGAGACTACATTGCTGCATTATTTTTCCTTTGCGTCACACATTTGGAAGGACACAGATGAGCAAGTTAAAATTTGGCTCTATTCCAGGCTCTGACACTAACTCACTGAGGCTGTGGACAAGTGATTAGCTTCAACTACATCTTAGCTTCCTGGTGTGCAATGAAGATAATAAATACTTTTCGTTCTGCTGTGTGAGGCTACATTCCTTAATCCACTCACATGGCTTTTAAATGCCACTGAAATTGACAGGGCTCATAAGCACTCAAAGGGGCCACAGAAGCATACATTAAAATTAAGAAGGGACCATCAGATGCCAAATAACCTGGTTCAAGTTATCTAAGATGACACTGGAACGGTGTATGACTGCGAGTGTTTACTCAATAGTCCCGCTGAATTCAAAGGGACTTGTATGCAAAGGACTGAATTCAAACAGTCACTGAAGCTAATGAAGGTTCTCCCATGCTATCCACATACAGCTACCTAATCACTCTATTCCCCTCCGCCGCAATACTCATTTCCTATTCACACCATAAACACTATCTAAAGAACAACCAGGAAGCCACAGAAAAGATGAAGATTTTCATTCGGCATCGAACATACAATTCCCTATATCACCCACGTACAGACGCGTTCGAAAATTAAAGAGAGTATCCATTTCTGGCAAACCCATGGAATCAAATCTGAAAGGTTAACGTAAAATGCCAAATCATCCCACCGCTTAAAACTTGCATTTCAATTAACCCCCCCACACACTTCAAACCTGCTCCTTTTTAACAGCAAAGCACTGACATGTTGTTTTCCGTCACATCCTATTCCTAGCAGGCACCTCTAAAAACTAGTCAGGGTATTTACCTGGCAGATAACACACAAGGAAAGAAAGCAAAGTGGTGGTGGTTTGAGTGTCAAAACTTTCCTTTTTCACACACACACACACACACAAAAAACCCACTGATCTGCAGTGTACTGTTAACTGCGCCCAGAAACAGCGTTCAAAATAGCTCGCTTCCGCTAGGGAGTACAGGCTGCCTTTTCTTTTCTCCTTTCCCCCCCTTCCCTCCAACCAGCCATTTTGCCCTTAAAGTGTCTTCTCGCTTCCTCCTCTCCTTCAACCCAGCCTACATTTTGTGCTGCTGCGGGGTTCCGGGGTGACAGCTGACATTCAGGAGCAGGAAGGGGGGGGTGGATGATGGTTCACTTTTTTGAAAGGTGGGGTGGGGGTGGAAAGCCCAGATAGACCTCCCTTTGCCTTGGGGTGGGGAGGAGGAGGGGTGAGCGGGAGAAACCAAAGCTTCCCGCCTCTCTGCCTGCCTTCCCCCCCCCCACCTCCCCAAACCTGCGCCGCCGCCCCGTCAAGCCCCGTTTGACGATGCAACGAGAGGCGCCGCGGCATTCAGAGGCTCGAGGGGATGTCCCGGTGCCGCCTCCTCCTCCTCCTCCTCTCTCCCCCCACCCACCCCAGGGAGCCCGCCCGCCCGCCCGCCCGCCCGGCTCCTCCCGGAGAGGCAGGGGAGCTCGGGGACCCCCTCTCCCCGGCAGGTCGGCCTTGCGATCGTCCCTCCCCCGGGCGGGCGGGCAGTGCTCTGCGGTGTCTCTCCGCGTCCCTCCCCCCGGGCGGGCGGTCGGTCTGCGGCGTCTCTGCCTCTCTCTCTCCCCCCCCCCTTCTCCGGCAGGCCGTGCGAGCGCGGCGGGGCGGGCACTTACCGCTCCGGCAGGCGGAGAAGCGTCGTCGTCGTCGTCCTCCGGCGACGGCGGCCCGATCTTGCTGCAGGTAGCCGCCAAGAGCGCCAGCGGCGACGGCTGGGTGTCCTGGGGTGGGGTGACGGGGGGGGGGGAGCGGGAGACAGGCGGCGGGAGAGGTGGGTTAGCGCGGGGCGCGTCTCCGTCGGTCCCCTTCCCTCCGCCCGCGCAGCAGCAGCGCCGCCGCCGCAGCCACCGAAACCCGCGCTCGCGACGTGTCACCGCCGGGGGGTGGGGAGGAGGGGGAAAGAAGGGCTCCGGGCCCGAAGCCTGCTGCTTCACCCGCCCTCCCGCCTCTCACCTGCGGGGTGCCCGACTCGTCCGAGGCGTCGGCCGAAGCCGCTGCAGAGCCGCCGTTCCCGTGCTGCAGATATTCGCCGTGGGGGCCGCCGCCGCCGCTGTTGCTGCCGCCGCCGCTGCTGTCCACGTCCAAGGCAGCCATTTCCTCTTGTTTCACGGGCTTCTCCGGAGCTGCGCGCATAGCGGGGGGGGGGGGAGTAGTTGGAGAAGGGGGGGGGTTAGGAAAAAAAATATAGGCCGGGTTGTTTGGTGGTGCGGGGGGTGTTGGAAGGAGAAGTTGGGCGGTGGGGGGGGGGGGAGGCGGAAAGGATCGGTCGGAGGGGGGAGGGGAGGAGAGTCACTGGCGGGCGCGCTCGCCCCCTCCCTTCCCCATCACCCCGGCGCTTGCTCGCTCGCTGGCTCGCTCCCTCCCGCGCAAGGCGAGCCCGCCCTGCTTTCCCTCTGCTCCCCTCCCTCTGTTCCCTCCTCCTCCTCCTCCTCCCTCCCTCCCTCCGCGCCGCTGCCGCCGTCCCTGCTGCCCCTGCCCCTCTTTTCTCCCTCCTCCCCCTGGCTCTGCTCCTCCTGCTCAGCCAGTGCCGCTCCAGCCACACTCGCAGGCAGACACGCGCGGCGGCGGCGGAGGACGAGCAGCAACCGAGGCGGCGGCGGTTCCCCAACAACAAGGCCCCGTACGTACCGGTCATGGCGGGAGGACGAGCGAGCGACTTGGCAGGCGAGGAGGGAAGGGAGGAAGGAAGGAAAAGCGCTGGCTTGAACCCCGCTGGTCTCTGGCGCGCAGGCCCCGCTGGCGGCCGCTGCCGCTGCTACGGCTAGGCAGCCGCCGCTGCTGCTGCTGCTGCTGTCGCCACCGCCGGGGACATGCTTATTGTGCGCGCGGGGTTGAAGCGGCGGCGGCGAAGGTGGTTCTGCTGGTGGTGGTGGAGGAGGAGGAGGCGGCGGCGGCCTGGCTCCCACTCCGGGGTCCCCCCCCACACTTGTTTTGATTGACGGTGCGAGGAAGCCGAAAGGTGGAGCTTGGAGCAAAAGGGAAGAGGGGGCCCGGCCGACACCGCCAGCACCACCACTACTACCGCCGCCTTGCGCGCGCGCGCCCGCCCGCCCTGAGAGCTGGCCCGGAACTCCCGCCTCCCCCCCCTCCACTTTGCTCTCGCGGCGTTCCAGGCAGCTCATTGGCTGCGGCGCCGCGCGGCCCGCGCTCTCACTGGCCCTCGCCTCCTGTCGCTCAGCCCGCTTGCGGGAGCGGCCCCCGCTCCCCTCCTCCCCCTCCCTTGCCGAGGTGGCTTCCTGTTTGCCAGGGTTTGTGTGAGAGACAATGAGCGAGGCCTTGCTCGGGTGGGCTCGGGCTGAGGGGGGGGGGGGAGAGCCTGGCCGCGGCGGCCGCCTAAACCGGCAATTGGAAGGAAGAGAGGCCCCGAGGCAGCCGCGTCAGGGCTGTTGGCCTTTTCCCTCATGAGAGAGCTTCGCTTTATAAAGCGCTTGAGGCCTGCTCCCCTCAGAACGGTTCTCTCCTCGGGCCCTGCTCGATTTCCGTGGGTTTGAATTCTCCCTCGTTCCGGCTGCCACTCAGCGTTTTGTGACAGCGGCTCTAGGGAGGAGGAGGGAAAGTTGGAGGCTGCGCTTATGGACCGAAAACAAAACCACCCCCTCCCCCCCAAAAAATAAAAAAAAATTCTCCAGTTAAAATGTCGGCGCGCTGCGGGCCAATCAGGCCTCGCTTGCGAATGTTTTGAAGGCCCTGAAGTGCCAGACCCGGGCCTTGTGCCTACGTGTTAATGTCATCTGTTAACTTTTTTCCAGAAGCGGGTTTCTTTTTAAAAAATATTTCAGGCCTTAGTTCCCACGAGCTAAAAGGACATTGATTTCCAGTATTTAGTCTCTGGTTAAGAGAGTTTTGAATATGAATGGGGCTTCGTCTTGGCGAATGATGAGCTTAGTAAAACACTTGAGTTTTAAAATTATAAACAGTTGAGCATCTCTAATTTCTCTCTCCATGGTTTTATATAATCAGCTTTTATATTGCTTACTGTGAGTTCATAGAGCAACATAAAAAAAATACTGCTTAAAGCACAAAAGCAGTAAATCCACATTTCTCAGTGGCAAAACTGCCGTGATTATAGTGAAATTCCTTCCAGTAACACCTTAGAGACCAACTAAGTTTGTTATTGGTATGAGCTTTTGTGTGCATGCACACTTCTTTAGATACCTTTGTTTTTATTTTGACTACAGCAGACCAACACAGCTACCTACCTGCAACTGTGATTATAATGGTTCTGAATTGTTCCTGAAGAAAGCAATTCCATCTCCCACTGAGATCAATGGCGAAATATCCATTGATTTAATTCTAATGGATTGGGCGCTAATCCTCAAGGATTTCTTGAATTAGGATCTGTATAAATTTGTCAAAATTACATGGATGGTTTTTTTAGATGTGTTTTGGATTTTTGTTATTGATATGTGTCACACCAAAATGCACTTCAACTATAAATAGCATAGGGATTGTTTTATATATTTTTGCGTAGATCCCTTGTTGAGTTTGAGGTTGGCTTGAAGGCAGTGTTGAACTCTTGAAGACATGCGTTCTGATACTGTCCATGTTTGCTAAGAATTAACTGATACTGTTAAGTGGTGCTTCCTTTCTAGTAAGTGTACTCACAGGATTCCAGCAGCTATTTTACTTTGGGGTGGGGGACTTCAACATACAATCTGTGGTTAGTTCAGAACTTTTTGACATCTTAGTGAAAAGCATTTAGTGAGCATAATAACTGACACAGCACATGATGGGAATAAGATGGATTCTATATGTTATGAAATACAGTCTGTTCATCAGACATAGAAATTGCCAGGATTTGGTCATTATGTTCTAAGTGTAGGTACAATAGACCAATATACATGAGACTTCCTCCTTTTCTATGTCTATTTGTGGCTGGCCAAGAATGGATGGTGTTCATGTTATCAGATGGTGTGCAGCTATAAAACTGATCAAAGCAAAATAATTTTTCTGTTTCAGTTTTGGATTACTTTCAGTTAAGGCAAGGGAATAGTCATGAATTCATCCATATTTAAAATATTGCATATTTTCATTTTAAAGCACAAGCGAGTTTCCCCCTTATTTTGGTTGTGGGCGCAAGAAAGCTGAAAGGAGACTTGCAGCAGAAGAGGGAGATCTGGCTTGACAGCACCATCACCACAACTACCTCCACCTTGCCTATCAGCTCAGACTCCGCCCCCCCCTTAGTGCTCCTAGCGACTCATTGGCTGCAGTGCTCTGTGGCCTAGACACTTTCTGCCTCAAGCCAACAGCAAACCATGTAAATGAATAATAATGTAAACATGAAAATTAATACTGATTTATGAGACATTTGGGGCAGCTAATGTGAAAGTAGCTGTTGGGCACTGTTCACTGAACCCCAGTTCATCAGTGAAAGGGAACCGTGGACACACACAGCTTCAGAGGTTAGATGTAGTAACTACTCTCAGCAGAGGGAATACAGAAATCAAAAGCTTGCAACCAATTCAAAACACTGAAAATCTTTCCTAAAAAGGGTTGTCTTGGTAATATGGCGAACTGCCATTAGGGAAGAAGCAAGGCCGGCCTTGGGAGGGATCAGTTCAGGCCGCAGTAGCGAGAAAGGCCTTTTCTCTTATCCCAACCAGATGTATTTTCAGGAGACGGAAGAGGGCTTCCATTGATAGTTCTTAATATGTGGGAAAGGTTGTGTGGGAGAAGATGTCCTTCAGATAGCATGTTCACAAACAGTAACGGTTAATGGATGTTTTTACAATCTTTGAAACTGCCAAGAAAAATATTGTCCCTGGAATATATAAATAACTGTAAGCAAACAGTGTCATGTTTGCCCCAGTTTGTTCTTTTAGATAGAACTTCTTCAAGTTTGATAAAAGGTCATGGATTCAGTTTTAATGAAGAGTGAAAGTAGATTTGAATGTGTCTCTTTGTATTATGTTTTCTAGGGGACACAATATATATATATACAGTGGACCCTCTGGATACGAATTAAATTTGTTCCGGGGGTCCGTACTTAACCTGAAAAGTCTGTAACTGGAGGCGCCGCTTCTGTGCACACATGCGGCATTATGAGCGCTTCTGCGCACGCGCGCGGTGAAACCCAGAAGTATACACTTCCAGGTTTGCCACGTTCGCAACCCAAAAGTTACATATCCAGAGCAGTATGTAACTCTCTCTCTCTGTGTGTGTGTGTGGTGTTGTTTAGTCATGTCCAACTCTTCGTGACCCCATGGACCAGAGCACGCCAGGCACTCCTGTCTTCCACTGCCTCCCACAGTTTGGTCAAACTCATGTTAGTAGCTTCGAGAACACTGTCCAACCATCTCGTCCTCTGTCGTCCCCTTCTTGTGCCCTCAATCTTTCCCAACATCAGGATCTTTTCCAGGGAGTCTTCTCTTCTCATGAGGTGGCCAAAATATTGGAGCCTCAGCTTCAGGATCTGTCTTTCCAGTGAGCACTCAGGGCTGATTTCCTTAAGAAATATTATATTATATATTATTATATTATATATTATTACATTATATTATGTGTCCTCCAGAAAACATAATACGTACAAAGAGACATATTCAAATATATATACACACACATGCTCAAAATATCTGATTAAATGGAAAACGGCTTTAATTTTTTTTTATTGCCTTTCATCTATCCTGTTAAAGTTTTTAGTATAGTGCCTGTCTGACTGCAAATCTGTCTACGCTACTGTGCAATGGTATTGTGTTACACACCACATAGATAAAGCTGTCAAACTTGTGTTTTGAATACATTTTCAGGATTTGATGAGTAGGGCTTTTCAAATGGGGTTGAGACTCTGCATGTCTGGTGCATGCATACTCTTTCAACACAGGAGCAACAGTTTTCAAAGGTTGCTTATAGTGATACACACTCTATACATGTATAATGTTGAGAACCACAGTCATTTGCAGATATCAAACAAACACCAAAGAACAAATTAAACTCCAGATCAGAGAAAAGGTCCAACAATGACATGAAAGCGGAGTTCAATTTTTATTTAACCAACTGAACCCTAGGCCTAGCCTGTGCTGTGGTATAGAATAATATGGAGTCATTAAAACACTTGAGCTTTGAGAGCAGCTTTCAGTACAGTGATAGATGTCACTGGCAATTCATGGTATCTGTTTCATATGTATTTTTACAGCCATCCCTATAGTAAAGTTTCGTTGTGGTTTACATGAAAAGAGCCTGCTACATCAGGCCCGTGGCTCACTTAGTCCAGCATCCTGTTTTCACAGTGGCAAACCAGATGCATGTGGAAAGCATGCAAGCAGGGCATGAACACAGCAGCACTCTGCCCACTTGTGACTACAGGCAATGAGTATTCAGAAGTGGAACACAGCTATTGTGACTACTAGCCAATGATGAACTTTATCCTCCATGAATTTGTCTAATCCTCTTTTAAAGCCATCCAAGTTGGTGGCTCCCCATTTATAGAAGGTTCTCCCCAGGGAAATTTTGCTAGTGCCTTTATTATACACATTTAGGTGCCAGGCTATAACATTCCTCTTCAGCCTGGCTGATTAATACCCAATGCCCTTCTAAATGTGTTTGGGGAGGGGAGGGGCGTTCATTGGTTTGTGTCTTTAATGTTCTTGCTTTTCTTATGTATTTCGTATTTTTATGTTGTGAACCGTCCTGAGATGAAGGCGGGTATACAGATTTAATAAATGAAATAAAAATAACTGCTTTGGTAGTATTTGTAAATCTATATAAAGATTGTATGTTTATGTCAATTGTGGCAGAATAACAAAAGAATTTGATTTTTTTAAGATAGGAATGGTTTGGTAGTATGTTAGGTGACAATGAAAGCTGAATAGTAAAGCCATGCCACCAGTTAAATGGGACAAAGGTCTGAAACATACCGTATTTTTCGCCCCATAGGACGCACCGGCCCATAGGACACATCAAGTTTTTTTGGGGGGGGGAAATAAAGGGAAAAAAAATTATTTCCCCCCCCCAGGCGCTTGTGGGGCCGGCAGCGGGGAGAAGCGCTCTTCTCCCCGCAGTCCGCCTTCAGACCAGGTCCGGGGACAGCGGGGAGAAGCGCTCTTCTCCCTGCCACCGCCTTGAGATCAGGTCCGGGGACAGCTGGGAGACGCACTGCGCCTCCCAGCTGTCCCCGGAGCTTGCGGGGCAGGCAGCGGGGAGAAGCGCTCTTCTCCCCGCCGCCCGCCTTCAGATCAGCTCTGGGGACAGCAGGAAGACGCACTGCGTCTCCCAGCTGTCCCCGGAGCTTGCGGGGAAGGCAGCGGGGAGAAGCACTCTTCTCCCCGCCGCCCGCCTTCAGATGGAGGTCCGGGGACAGCAGGAAGACGCGCTGCGTCTCCCAGCCGTCCCCGGAGCTTGTGGGGCAGGCAGCGGGGAGAAGCACTCTTCTCCCCACTGCCCGCCTTCAGATGGAGGTCCGGGGACAGCAGGAAGACGCGCTGCGTCTCCCAGCTGTCCCCGGGGCTGGCGGCAGGGTCTCCCCGCCGTCAGCCTCCAAACCACTTCGGGAGACAGCGGGATGGCGGCGTTCCGCCTCCCTCTGTCCACCGACCTTGTGGGGCTGGCGCTGGGGCTCTCCTGAAGCCTGGAGAGCGAGAGGGTCGGTGCGCACCGACCCCTCTCGCTCTCCAGGCTTCAGTGAAAGCCTGCATTCGCCCCATAGGACACATACACATTTCCCCTTCATTTTTGGAGGGGAAAAAGTGCATCCTATAGGGCGAAAAATACGGTAGTCCTTAGAGTGGAAAATTCATCAGCCATGCTGAAACTCCCTTCCCCCCCCCCCCCCAAAAATAAGGAAAATTAGCTAGGTGGAAAATGTAAGATAGCAGACATTACCACATTTTCCCTTATCAAAGGCCCAGTAAGGTGTTTTTGATACCTTAAGTAGAAGTAATTGTGATAAAGGAACCCATATTGTTTGACATTAAACATAAGTTGGCACTGTTAGATCCCCCAACATATTTTTTAAAAAAGCTTTTATGGGTTATTGTGAATATATTTTATTTGAAACATTTGTAATTTTTTACTTTTTTACTTTTTTTTACAGTGGCATGTGTAATGTACGCAAATCTCCCAGCAGCCAAACAATGCCAACCCCTGTACTGAAAGTAGTTCCAGGGGCTCAGCCAGAAAGAGGAGACGGGAAGACTTGATGCATGGCCTGTGTATATTGATGAAGAGTATAAGGATACCAGAAGTGCCTTTCACATAGACTTGTGGAATAAAATGAATGAAGAGTCAAGCACTGGAGCGCACTGTATAAATACGGAATTTGTATGAGAATGTCGATTGGGATAGTAGTCCGGAAGGTAATGTATTTTCACAAAATACGCAAGGCTACCTTTGCATCTAGAAGCAAGCTGTACGTAGGAACAAAAAAGAAGACAAAATGGTAGTGCCGTGTGCTGAGCGATGCAACAAAATTGTCGTAGTCCATCACCACTGACTCTGTATCAAGAACCAGATGTGATGCCCTTCATAATAAAAATGTATGTGTATTTAAGGTGCAAGGAACCCCAAGTCATGGCAGTATTGTCTATATATCACCAAGTGATTAACTCCAGATGACAGCAATTCCAGAGGTTCCACAAATGTTTTTCAAGCATATTCATTATGGTGCATTTGGTTGAAAGACCCAATAATATTAGAGGGCTTTCTAAAATACTCTCAGGTTTCTTACAGGCTTTATTCATGGAACAAAATTAGCCACAATAAGGGAGGTGTTTCCAAACAAGCAGCAAGTGGACAGTGATAAACAGTTATTCAACAGGGTTGCCATGTGTTTGCATGCTATTCCATTTACTGAAGCTGGGTTGATGTGACAAACACACATTGAAGCACAAAATAATTCAAAAGAACCCAAGGGCCTATGCAAACATATAACATAGCTCAGAAATACTGCTGTTAAAGGCTTTTGAAATGACTGTGATGATCCAAACAGATTATAACATGGACATCACTGGTGTTTTCCATCATTACTGGGAAGCAAATATCATTTCAGGCTCAAGTTTAAAACACTATTTTAGAGGTCTGGTAAGAATGTTATTATCTTGACAGAAACGGATGAGTTGACTCAGATACCCCTATATTGAGAGATCAGAAATAGCAAAGGAAAACATATTTTTCACCTAGCAAAATTTCCCTCAAGTTTTGGGGTGAGTCATCTTGGCCCAATATACTCTCCACCCATTTAAGGTACTAAAACAACCTTCAAAAACTCCTTTTCCTTTTGCTCAAAACAAGTACAAGCTGAAAGCTGTTTCAATGCACATGTTGGAGATCCTTACCACTTTGTATTGATACTACTGATGATACATTCTACTCAATAAAATTATATTTTTATACTTACACATTGTTTTCGCTGTAATATGCTTACCTGTTTCCATTCCTCCGCTTATTAGTTCATGGCCTAGATCAGTGTTTCCCAACCTTTTTCTGATTGTGGCCCCCTTCCAACCTTGGTTCCTTCCTGTGCCCCCCCCCCATGGGCGTAGCCAAATAAGTAAAAATCAATACAAATCTGAGGTTCTGTCCCCAGCCCTAACAAAAATCCTGGCTATGCCCATGGCCCCTCCCCCCGTCTTACTGGTAGAAAGGTAGCTATTTAAAAGTTTTGTTTGTAAATGGCACATGTTTTCTTTGTAGTTCATACAAAATACAATCACATAAAATGATAGGAACATAATGAAACATTGAAGCAGAAAACCATAGAATCATGGAAGGGACCCCATGGGTCATCTTTCCTAGTGCATGAGGGCGATCCATCTTCCATGTATTAAAAAAAAGTAAACAACACTTGCTTGACCCCACTTATTTGACACACATGGGAAAATCTACAGATACATTCCAAAAGGTGCACAGGGAGTCCTGTATATATGGGAGAATTTTAAAAAGCAAGTGGTCCTCACTGATCTACTGCAAAAATATCTTGTCATCCGGAGGAGCCCTGGCTGCCTAGATATAGCCCCACACACCCTTACTTGGGAGTAAGTCCCACTGGAAGTGTGGCTTCTGAGTAGACAGCTATTTACTAGATGCACGTCAGCAGCACCAGACTTGGCTAGGCGCTGGGGTGAATTTCGCCCCACGCCTTGCAGAGCCAGGCTGACACTGCTGATGGGCCCTTTGCCCCTCTGCAACATCCAAAGGCCCTGATCCACTAAGCACGGGTGGATGGCGCCCTGCGCCTTGCAGTCAGGCCCAGGCTGCCACTGGGCCCAGCACTAGTGGGAGCAACAAGCAGCTCTGGCTTGCCCAACCCTACCCATACCCCACCCCCGAACTTACCTGACCTGGGGGCTCTGGATTGTGGGATGCACTGGTCATAACGGGAGCCTCAGTGATGGCCCTCTCCCACCGGAAACAAACCAGGACTGCTCCAAGAAAATGCACGTGGCAAAAAGGAGCACCACACCCTGGTGCCCCCCTCCCTTACCCACTTATGATTGACCAAGCGGAGAGCCAGCCAATCAGGACTTTAAAAAAAAATATATTTTTTTTGGCGTATTTTTCACCTGTGGCCCTGACTTCCTCTTCTAGAAGGAGGTAGGGCAATTCCAAGATGGCGATGGCTTAGCAAGCGGGCTTCGGATCTCTGCTGATAACAGGACTGTAATTAGTGCTATTTGCTACCCAGGGAGGTAATTTTTCCTCTTTTTTTACTTCTCTACTTTTAAACTTGCGGGACGCAGGTGGCGCTGTGGGTTAAACCACAGAGCCTAGGACTTGCCGATCAGAAGGTCGGCGGTTTGAATCCCTGCAACGGGGTGAGCTCCCGTTGCTCGGTCCCTGCTCCTGCCAACCTAGCAGTTCGAAAGCATGTCAAAGTGCAAGTAGATAAATAGGTACCGCTCCAGCGGGAAGGTAAAGGGCGTTTCCATGCGCTGCTCTGGTTCGCCAGAAGCAGCTTAGTCATGCTGGCCACAGGACCCAGAAGCTGTACACCAGCTCCCTCGGCCAATAAAGCGAGATGAGCGCCGCAACCCCAGAGTCGGCCACGACTGGACCTAACGGTCAGGGGTCCCTTTAGCTTTACCTTTACTTTTAAACCTACCAACCTACTGAGATTCTATCAGCACCTTCTTATCTATGCTATGAGGAACACCTTGGGCAAGTTCTGTGAAGCATCCTGGGCAGGCTGCCAGCTATTAACCGCCAGCTCCCTTTTATACTTTGTTCCTGGAACTCCTGGCGGTCACCTGTGGCCCTCTTGGAATATCCTGAGGACCACAAGGAGGCCACATGGCCTCCGATTGGGAAACGAGTGCTCTAGATCCTTTGTCATGGAGTATTCCTTGGAAGGCCATTTCGTCACTTGAAATAGCCTTCTGGCAAACCAAACTGCCACTCCCCTTCATCTGGAATGAGAAGGTGGGACGCAGCAATTAAGGAGAAATGCGAGTATTGCAGCCCAGTCTTCCTTCTGGCGTGACTTCCCTGAAAGAAGGTGACAGGGAGAATAATTGGAGCGCACCAGTTAAAACGAGAAGTCCTCCTCTTGCTCACAGACTCAGATCTATGTCTTCCTCCTTTTGAGCTGTTTCACGGCTCAGATAGGAAGGAGAAAAGAGATAGGGGCTGGACCATGCTGCTTTGAAGACTGGATCCAATCTGAGGGCTACCAGTTGCCAATCTCTTCTTTACATTCACGTTTTTTCATCAGGGAGGGCGACGATATGCTATGGGAGACGAAAGGCAATGAAAACCTAGAGTTGAAATAGGCGTCAACGTGAGCTAAGAAGCTATAATTGGTGTAGGGTTGTAAGGATGCCGCAATGGGCAAGGAGGAAATCGGTTATTTGAACTTCATTTCTTAGTTTCAAAAACAACCAACTTCAACTTTAAAAAAAAGATCCCCTATAAGCGGAATAGGACTGTTGCTGTTTCCTCTGGCCTGACCAATTTAGAAATCGGGGCGATACAAAGAGATGTCTAATTTCCAATGAATGCAATGGACTGATTTCAAGTTTGGTTCTCATTATACTCTTACCTTGGGAAAGAAATATAGAAAAAGAAATCTGTTTCTAAAACATCTCGTGTGCTTATCTGCTGCTTCAACAGCACCAAAAAACAAACAAAGCATAATATGGAGGGGTGCCACATAAAACTTGCCCCAAATTTACTGCCTTTAAAAAGAAAAAGTTTTGTTTTAATCTTTCACTGGTTGGATTATAATAATGATCAGCTCTGTAAGAGGAATCGCCAAATCTCACAGCAGTGAAATGAAACTACAACCTTTCCCAAGCAGTTACATTTTGCAATTTTATGAGCGAATAAATACCCTCTTTCGGCACATTATGATTGCCATTCCTTGTTTGTCTTTCCTTTTTTAAAAAACTGAAATAAATCGGAAAAGTATATATTCCACTCCCCAATACTATAGTTGCAGCTTCAGTAAATGATTGCATTTGATCTCAACATCAGTGATTTAATTAAACAAGTACATTTCTATATTTTCCCCAGTTTAAAGGAGCAAGTACAGTAGCTTAAAGCCTTTACAGGTGTAGCACTGAGAATTTTCTTTTTAAGAGAACAATGATATTTTAAAGTAAAAAAAAAAAAAAAGTATTATAACTTTTCAGGGCATCTCTGCCCTGAATTATGTTGTTAACACCACACCATAAAGTATCGATTTATAGGGCAATTAATCAATAAAGAACGTTCTATCCAGAAGGGAACATGTATTTTGCTAAGTACTGTACTTCGGCCTTGCAAATGGCTATGGACAAATGTTATTTCTGTTTTAAGTACTTCATTTTAAGTTCTGAGTTAAAGAGTTTTATTTAATCATGATCAGGCAACTTGGTGTTATGGATGGCCCACTACAGCAGCTTGTACAGGATCTAATAATAATAATAATAATAATAATAATAATATTTACACCCCACCCATCCGCCTGGGTTGTCCCAGCCACTCTGGGTGGCTTCCAGCAAATACAAAAGCAGAATAAAACATCAAGCATTTTTTAAAAAATCCCTATACAGGGCTGCCTTCAGAAGTCTAAAAGTTGTATAGTCACCAAGTGCATGCAACAGACTCGCTATATTTGCTTTGCGAAGCGGCTCATATTGGTCCATGAAATAGGTCCATGAAACCTTTTGGCTCACTAAGGAAAAAAATGTATATTCTAAATAATGATGTTACAGCACTCTACGCAGTGTTCACTAGTTGCTGAAAAGAAAGGTGTAAGGAAAGGAAAACAAGGGATAACATACCCTCCAACATTTGTCTGATGAACATTGGAGGAAGGCAGAGAGCCTTCCCGGTAGTGGCACCCGCCCTGTGGAACGCCCTCCCATCAGATGTCAAGGAAATAAACAACTATCTGACTATTAGAAGACATCCAGAGGCAGCCCTGTTTAGGGAAGTTTTAAATGTTTGATGTTTTGTTGCTTTTTAATTATTATTATTAATATTCTGTTGGAAGCCTCCCAGTGTGGCTGGAGAAACCAAGCCAGATGGGCGGGGTATAATTTGTTGTTGTTGTTGTTATACGTCCTAAGAAAAAGCACGGCATTTCAGGATCACATCAGAAACCAAGACAGCTTCTGTAAATCTGGGACTGTCCTTGTAAAATAGGGGTACTTGGTGGTCCTGGGATAAGATAGGGTAATTGTTTCTCAAGAGACTTTACTATTCACATTTAGTAGGCACAAGTTATCAGGCTTCTCAAGACTGTCCGGCAGTTTATCCTTTTGAGCCTTGCAGCTCTTTAAGTAACAATCAGGAATTTCAAGGTCCCCTTCACGGAATTTGTAACTCTTTCTTTCTGAGGTAGCGCTTTGCTCTCAAATCGCCTTCCTGCAGTTTCAATGCTAGCCGCCCATCTAAGTTCTTTCTCTCACCTTTTCCTTCCTTCCTCTTCAAGAGACAGAAGAGGGCATGTGGAAGGGTTTGCATTGTGCAGAATCCCAAGCAGTACTCAAATTGATCCATCACAGCAAAAGGGCAGCACATCTCAGGGGCAGAACACAACTGTGTTTGTTAAGGTGCCTTGTAAGCCAGGGGCATGCTGTTGGAAACATTTCCCTTGCGCGTGCACACACACAACCAGACATATTCTTGACTCATAATTACTAAATATAGAACTGGCACTTTCAAAAGCATTTCATGTCCCCCATCTGAAACTGTCAGGAAGAATGATGACGAAACAGTCTTCTTCCTTGGCGATCACTCGTAGCCGAGTAAGATCGTCTTCCTCGAACATGGTTTTAACAGTGAGACCGTAAGTGACTGTGGAGGCCAATTCTGGATCCCCACGTCCTTCCACAGTGGGGACATAGGTTTCCGGGTGGGAGTTGATCACAGTGAGTGAGGGTTTGCCAAACGTGCCTTCCTCTTAGCTCATTTCTCCC